AATTATGTTTATCGCTATATTATGATATTGTTTCAAGACCAATCAATATATCCTCCTGAATTTATGATTATTGCAATAAATAGACTACCAATTTTCTAGTAATAGAAGATGAACATTATTTCTATCGTGAATATCTCATTTCCATAACGAGAGAAAGAAAATAACTTAAGTTAAAATATTTTTATTGTACATTTAGATAAATTAATTAGATAAATATCTTTTATACACGCTGAAATTTTAATTCCGTAATTAAAAAAAATTATATAGGATTTAAAACAAATTAAAATATTTTTCAGGATAGTCCACGATTAATTTGTCCTTCTGAGATTTAAGACAATTATTTGCATCAAATTGTAGAATCTAAAAGACGACAAATCAATATAAAGATCTTGAAATGAATGAAATTTGAATTATTTTTTTAAATGCACAAATAATAATGTTGAAAATTTAATTCGCAATTTTGAAATTTACAATTTTATATCAGTTTAAACAAAAATAAAATCCGCTAAATAACATATATTTTGAATCTTAATAATAGATTTTTAAATTACATTATCTTCCTTCTGGAATACAGTTATTATTATTTATACACAACTGAGTCATGTTTTCCGTCAAAACGTTCCGTGATAAATGTCAATTCTCGCAAACGGATGTTACCTTGTGTATTTTTTTTTATTCCATCTACGATATTTACAGGATGCGACCGAAATCGAGCATGGCTCAATACATTCGCAAAACAAGTCATCGGAATATTGCGATGCCATATGATGGAATATTACGTAAGTTGTTTCATTTCGCGCCACATTGTGCTATAAAAGAACGATTTAATATCGCCGTTTGGGACTTTACTCGTTCGAAGTTTAACTTGCATTCTGCTTTTATAAAATAAACCGTGTGTGGGTGAGCTATACCGGGAGAGGGCTTTGAATTTTAATATATGGAAGTCTCGACAAGATTCGATCCTACCCCAATTTTGCGAAACTTTCGACCTATGACACGTCATTTCCAGGTCTGTAGAGACCGTTTATATTGAAGTTATCGAACTTCTTCCCATGCCCTTTTCTTTTATATTTGGAGACTGTGTCTGAATCATATATATATATATATATAAATCGACGTAACAATAAAATATCTCGTGACAATACAATTCTCTGTGAAACTTTTTATTTCGCTCCTACCTCTTCGTTGTATTTCCCCAGCGAGGGCCGACGATCGAGAACGATATAAAGGGCAAGGATGTTTTTATATTGTAATGAAGACTTGATATAACGGACTATAAACGCTAAAATAAGAATTTCAGAATCTTCCTTTTTGAAATGTCTTTATACATTGGGAAAAGAAGTATTTGATATAGTATATACAATAATTAATTTATTAAGACAAAAAAATTAAGTACGGCAAAGAGGAAATATACACTACAATTATAATTCGTATTAGACCGACAAAAATAAATTAAGACAAATAATCCTATTTTCGGATATAAAACGGATCTTAGTGTCTAAATATTTCAGAGTAAATTTATATAGGATAACTCCGGCAAATATGCCCCTACTGGGATTTAGGCCGCAAAAATCAGAAAAAAATAAAAGGAATGGGAGTATAATTTTCCTGCAACTACTCTGTTACATGTCTTTATGTTATATTAGTATTGAATTATGAGTTTATTTTAGCTGAGTTATTTTAGCTTTTTACTGTTAATATTAATGAAATTGTGAGTTGAATCAATTTGTCATTGTAATAGATAGTGCCATCATAAATTATAATCTATATATTGGGTCATTTAAAAAGTATCCGCGGTTTTTCATTCAAAAATTGAACAAAAAACCGGATACTTTTTAAATGATCTAATAAAATGATTACTGAAGAACATGTAAAAGACTTAGTGGTTATTTCGTAATACATACATGTAATGGAATAGTAAAGCATATTGTATAGCAAAATACAAGTGCTTTGCTTTCGTATTCTTTGTTTAATTTGTTGTCTTGTATATCCCACCTGTTTGGGATATACGACATTTTTAGTGAGCAGGATTTATGCCCAAAGGATACAAAATGCGCAGATTAAATTCAGTACACTAATTATAATATACGCATTACACGAAATATTATATATACCTCATGTTATAACCCTTGTAATATATACAGGAAGATTGTAATTATTATTTATTGTTTTATATACATGTTTATCATTTTTATTCTTTATAAACAGATTTTATAAGTTATTCATAAGTTATCATTTTACGTTTTATTTATATGTAATTTTTTATGTATACGTAAATTATGTATATGTAAATTTTTCATGAGTACATACCTCCTCCCCTCCCCCTATGAGCCACATATCCCTATAGGATATACAACAAAAAATGCAAAGGTTTCAAAAAGTTTATTTTTTAATACGAAAAATAAATATTTCGGATTTCTAATATTTTTTTCATAATAGTAAACAATACAACATTTTTATATATGATATAGTTTATTTATTTTAAATATACTAAATAATACTTAATAAATTAAGTTTTTGATAGGTGCGGCGTATATACCGGAGTTACTCTACATAGCCAATTCTGCAAACCGCGCACACGAAATCTCTTTTCTCAATCTTGAGACACAATTATGATCAAAATTAAAGTAACAATATTATATATTAAATATTCACAAAAGCAATTTAATAATTTTTTATGTTAATAAGCATTTTGGAAGGATATTAATAATTTGATATTAATCTAAGTATCTTAATAAATTTGTCGCAATATTTCTATAATCTCAAGATATATTAAAATTAGAAATTTACAGAATTTAGCAAATTTGATTTGTAATTTTATATAATGTCATATATTTATCTGCGTTTTGTGTACGCATTTCAATTCTCCTAAAACATCTCTCATATTGTAGTCGCATCTCAAATTATAAATAGAATTCTCTCTCTGCCACGATTTACAAATTTTCCAAAGTGAACTTTACACAAACGTAAAATATTTACTCACATGAGTAATCAATCGATCTTGTTCTAATCGAAGTTTTCACTTACACAATCTGCATAAACCAAATTCACATAAACAGATGAATCTATAGCAATTTTCTTTCGACGCATCTCCTGTTTTGTTTCGATTCGCTCATCGGCGAGACGGAAGATGAAATGATAACTTTTCGTGTAGCGATCGTTACGTAAGTCTATCTATCTGTTTGGGGCGAGCATGGTTTACCGTCGCATCAGCGTAAAGTGCACAAACATACGACTAAACGTGGGTGGAATTCTCAACAATTGCGATGTGTTACTATCAAAAAATTTCTCCACCATGAGGAAGCACAAGTTCTAGCATTTTGCGAATTTCCAGTGTTTCGTTTTACCTTACCGTCTCCGTAGCTCGACCGGAGGTGGAAATCGCGCACAAGCATTCGAACGGCTTTCCTCCCTCTCGTGAATCTCGTAAAGCTCTCGGTATTCCTTTCTTTAGTATGTGTTCCGGCTATATATTCGAGCGTATGTATGTGCACTATGTTAGCCAGTTGGCATTTGTCGTTCCGACAGAATCTCATAAAATACATGTACGAAGGAAACTGGTAGCATCTAGAACTGAAAAGCTACGGAGATGAACTTTTTTACGAAATCGAAGCATCTTTCTCACCAAAAGAAAAATCAAGTTTCTTGAACGAGCAAGACATCCTGGATTCGAAAGATGAAAATCTCATGCTACGTAATATGAAGAAATTTTATTATGACAAACGAATGATATTAGAACAGTTTGCTGTCACATCCGAAAAAGTAGCGATAGTAATACACCAAAATATTATAAAGAGAGTGTAACATATGGTGGAGTATAAAAGAATACGTCTGATTATATTGTTTATATAATCAGATATAATAATAATGTTTATATAATCAGATAATATATAACATGTTCAATTTTAAGTGATTTGACACGTCGCGTGAGTCATCGATAACTCTGTTATAGAAATGTTTATTGATATTAGATATTATTATCATCCGTTTTATACATATATTTCCATTTTCGCTGCAAAATATTGAATAGAAAACATATCAATACAATATCTAATAAACACTTTAAAATTATTCGTAAAATGAATATTTTAAATATTATTAAGATATATCTTTGATATAATTATATACCTATTATATAAAATATTATAAAAAATATTATATAATAGAAAAAGCTTATAATAAAAAATTGAAATACAAAGTTCATAAAAAGTAAAAGATTTTATTTTTATAATGTCTTATATATGCGTTTATAAAGATTTAATAATATTATTGTCTAATATAATAAAATGCTTTTATTAGAAATATCGACTGTGTGATATTTTATTCGATACATTGACTATTCATTCGACGTTGATATAAATACTTTTAAAATTATTCAATATATTCGTAATCGATATCTTTTTTCCATTTTTTAGTCATGGTATTTTTTTTTGTGTTTATTATATTTGTTAAATAACATGTATTTTATAATGGTTAAAAAAATTATAAAAATTATTGTAAAGGTCTAATGTACCAATATTGCATCATATATCATTATTATGTATATCCACGTATATGATATTAAAAATTATTTTATAATTATTTTTTTTTTAAACCAAAATATCAAGTGAACTGAATGGAAAGTTCAGTGCGGATTACCAGTGATACGGAAAGCGTTAATGTTTGCGCTTGCAAACATTCATTTATATACATATTTTCTGGTACGTTAAACATGACAGAAAGCTATTTATAAAAAAATAATTTTTATTATCGCTGTGTGAGGAAAAAACTGTTTTTAATTTGAGCGTTACAACGCGGCCGTTTAGACAATGGAAGAAAATTTGGCAAAGGACAAACTTAGCAGGTATTCAAATTGTTAATATTGTTATCAACTCGGTTGATAACAACAAAATTGTTATCAGTGAATGATCGAATTGCTCTCCTACTGTGACATCTCCATTATGATAGTTGACGTTTACCCCGTATGACATGTCTTTATGTAACGAAATGTATTTGCATACCTTTCTCTCACAGAGTTGCGTCGTCAAAATCCTTTGAGGAACTCGTAGGCTGATCTAACTCCTTTGAGATATTCGTCGTCTGCTCCAGAATGATCATCTCGCATCCCTCGGGATTCTGCGTTTTCGTATTACTGGGCAATAGGGTCTCTTGCAGGGTGTTATTACCATTACAAATCTTCTCGCCTCTGCAACTCTTCTTGATTCTCGGAGTGTTACTGTTGGAGTTTCTTGAATAACACGGCAGGACCTTTAAAAATTTATATTTTTAATTAATTTTTTAGTACGAGATTTTTCACTCACTCATTCTCTCTCCCTCTCCCTCTCTCTCTCCCTCCCTCCCTCCCTCCCCCCCCCTCTCTCTCTCAACATTTAATAAACGATATACATTTTCTTGAAACGTACATGATTTATTATTTCCCTTATATAATACTGACTAATTTAATTAGTGGCCAATTTAATATTGAAAGTACATAATTAATTACTTATTTGAAGTATTAAAAGCATCGGACAACAGTGTTTTTAATATTTAAAATAAGTTATTAATTACTTTTATCTTTTAATATTTTAACTATCATTGAATTGTGATTGTAGTATTAGATTTCTGTAAAGATGATATCAAGTTGGATATTTAGACTAATTTATGCTTACTTATTTATGCTTTAATTTATACTAATTTATACTATTCATAATATTATGTTATAAACGATTTATGTACGTTCATATATTTATGTTACACATTTATATTAAATCAGGCAGATTATATATTTACAAGTAATTGAAATAATATCTCTAAAAAGTTTGGTTTTTTTATATGAATTTTATTAGACTCAACTATATATAAGAGCGATATTTGATTTTATATGGTATCCTTTAGTAACGATATCCCTCAAGATGTGGTGCATTTAAATTAATTTTACACCTAAACGAAATTATTAATCGATTCCGTAATTGCAGTTTATGAGAGCGCCGTAATGGAACAATCGTTAACCACATTTTATTATTGCGAACTTAAGGTCGAAAATTGATGAAAGGGCGTAATCAAGTTGTAGAAGATGTGGATAATTAAAAATTAATTCAATACAGATCGAGAAAAATTAATCAAACTTGACGAGCGCGAAGAAAATGCTCGTAACTCGACTTCCACACGATACTCATTACGATACTCAAGTCTTATTAATATCAAAGCATTTTCCATGAGCGGAATTACGTTGCAAAATCAAATTTATTACAATTAATTCCTTTTAATTACTTTATAAAATGGTGAATGTTACAATAAACAATAGATCACATAAGTGATACTATCTTTTTCGTTTCTATAACAAAATAAATATACAAAGAGAAAAATAAATGGAAAGAACAATACAATAAAATGTAGAGAGGAGAAATAACAGAAACAAGCGTCATGCAAAATCCGACACATATTTTCCGATAGAATATTAGAAAACGAGAAAATACCGCAAAGTATAAAACGTCCTTATCGTGTAAATCTTTTTCTATTTTATGAATTCGCAAGTAGCTGAAGGAAAGTCTTTTCGCGAGAAAAAAGAGCGCAAAAGTTATTCTTTTACCATAAATTCTTGCCTCGGTAAATGCGACCATACTCGAAACCGCCAATACTCGCATCTTTGAATCGATTGAATACCCTTATTCAATGCAAGTTGTGTAGCATTCAATAAGGCATCCGACAAAATACATTTATGCGTATCTCATTTATACGCGACTGTCTTACTAGTGCACATTGATATCCTAAACATGTTTCATCATTTCATGAATATGTAGACTCGGAGGGAAGAAATAGCTCTGCTACAAATTAATTTCGGCGCGATAGAATTCTAGTTTCTCCTCAACGTGTTGCAATTGAGAACATAATACATCAGATTCTTGCTTCTTCGACATAAACAGTTCTGTGCCCTAATTACTTAAAGTGCATCCTTGCACGCTCCTTAGAAATTGCATGTAGATAATTCTAGATGCATTAAACGTATGGCGATGTAAAATTATATTAGTCTAACTAAAAAAGATATATTATGTAAAATACATTGGAACGAACTTTATTTTTTTCGTAAAAATATTGCCTAAATTCCTTGCTTAAGTAGAAATTTAAAAAGCTGGAAAATTTTTAAGTAGAAATTTAAATTGCTGAGAGCTTTGCGTTTTCGAGAATTCACTTACTTCAAAAACGTCGAGAGATACAATTTTTAACGCATCATTTCTGTAGTTGTACGATTTCGTGAAGGTAGATTTTATTAAGTATACAGGGTGAGTCATAAATATGTTTTAAAAGTTTTAAATGTTTGGATAAAAAGAAAGAACAAATATTTCTATAAACTTCAAGTCACAAATGCTTCGTTATCGAAATAATGAATACAAATAGATATGAAATAATGATTGAGTCATAAATGAAAATCGCACAAAAAGATTATTTCTTTCGTGTGTAGAAAATCATAACAAATTTATCTTTTTAAAAAAATGATGCGTGCTTTTCTCAGAAAAAAACCGTTACATAAATTATTATGCGCGCTTGTATGTACAACCAACAAAATATCCTCATGAAACTTTTAAATAAATTTTTAAATAAACTTTTAAATAAAATCATACTGTATTTGTATTCATTATTTCGATAACGAAGCATTTATAATCTAACGTTCATATTTGGATGCATTTGTTTTTTCTTTGCACGAACACGTTTATAAAATTTTAAAACGTTTATAATTCACCCTGTATAAAAGTATTACGTATATGTGCTTTCCGACTGCATTAAAAATGATCTGCTTGCTCGTGTATATCTCGCAGATGAATGGAAAGCAGCGAAATAGACGGATTTTTCCGATATAAGCTGCGCAAAATCCAGTTTAACGTTGGCCCTTGTGATATGAGATTCATTAATGTTAATGGATATGAATATAGTAATATCAAATCATGATACTATTTTATTTAAAAGTTTGAAATGGATGTTTATTATTTACAGGAGATGCTCCAAGTGTTCTCCATTTTTCATATGAAAGAAAATATCTGATTTGATATTCAATTATTTAAAACATACTCATATCTAATTTAGCCTTAATCTTCGTGATGTGATACTCAGAGAAATAAAAGTTATAGCTCGCTGCATATACACACCTGCTTGAATTCCTTGCGAAAGTTGTCATTGAGCCAGGCGTAGAGGAACGGATTATAACAGGTGCTGCTCATGGCGATGCAGTGCGACATGAAAAAGCAGAGTCTGTAGTAGGACCAGTCATTGGCGTACGAATAGAAATCATCGACGACGTTGACAATATTGAGCGGCAACCAGGACACACCGAATATGGCAACCATGGCGATCAGCATCCGATTAGTCCGGCGTTTCCTCTCGCGATCCGCTTCTTCACGCTTGCTGGTCTTGGTGCCGGGTTTGGCACGCGCCCGATCGTTCAGCTTAATCGACACGCATATGTAGCAAAAGGAGATTACAAAGAACGGCACGACAAACTGCAGTATCGATGTGAGCGAACTGAAGACCTTGCGAAATGGCTCACCGGGCCAATTCTCCTCGCAGAAGGAGATATACGTCTCCTCTAACTGCATGTAAAGCCCATATGGCAAAGTAAGTAACAACGCGATCACCCAAATACTTACGATGATCGCTAAGCACATCTTAATCTTCATGCGCGGATGGAACGGATAGATAATCACTAGGAATCGATCGACGGCTATGCTTGTCAGCGTGAGCGTACTGATGTACACGCTGACGCCCTGGGAGTAGGGCACCAGGTGGCAGAGGGTCTTACCGAAGATCCAACCGCTCAAAAAGGTGTACAGAGGGGTAAAGGGCACGGCCAGTACGCATAGCAGCACGTCGCTGAGCGCGAGATTTGTGATGAAGAGATTGGTGACGGTGTGCATCTGACGGTTTCGTCCGACGACGAAGACTACCAGCACGTTACCGAATATGCCCAGCACGAAGATAATGATGTAGAACAGGCAGAATATTATTTGCACCGACAAGTTCGACGTTATGTCCTCCGACACGTAGCTATAGTTGCGCGCTGATGAGTTCTGCATGGTGATTAATATTATTTGCGTTGTACCATTATTTACGATGCATTTTGAAGAGTGCTAGATCAATTATTCGTGTTACACGCCTCCTCTTCTTCTTTCTTCTTCTCCTTTTTCTCTCTTTTTCTTTGGTGCTATCCCGTCGAATCGATCATGCGTCAATGATACGCTGACGCGGATGAATTCGCTGATGGCTCATCTCTCAGAACGAATGTGAGAGGGAGAGATGTGAGAGGAGGTCGATCCGGTAATGCAATTCGACGAGGTGGGAATTATCCGGAAGAAAATCCAAACGATGTATGCTTCGTCAATCACGAGAAGTGAATTAATTTCTCATGGAGCTCCTCGCTCATTAATGTTAACAGCACTGCTGTTATCCCGCGCGGCGGACGTTCCGGCGTCGGAGGATTCTGATAAGCAAGTTATAACCTCAGATAAGGAGATTAACTTGAGTTTCGTGCGGCGGTATCCTTGCAGGACCAACTGTTTGAGGGCATCGATTACTCGACGCGTATGCAAGCTTTGCAACTCTTGCTCGACTTCCGTCGAGATAATCCTTTAAGCACGATTTAATTTAAGTTTAATTCTCTGACAGTTTAAAGATAGATTAATGGGGAGTACTGTGCTTTTATCTCTTATTGAATATTTAATTATTTTTTTATATAACATCAATTATAAAATCTTGAAATTCGCTTCATCCGTTTTTTAGTATCCGAAGTTAAAAATATTTTCTTTTTGCATTTCCACGGTAATTTTTTACCATTTTTCAAACAGAATTCACGTTGAAACAGAAAATAGCTAATGTCGTAAATAACTGATGATGAATTTAGAGGTAACACCAATTGCCTTGTTTATTAATTTACAAGGTAGCAATGTATAAATGTTTAATTAAAGAGCAGAATACAGGCAGACAAAAGGGGAATGCTAAAAAGCCAAAGGGTCGTTGTATATTTCATTCTTACTCCTGAATTATACCTTTACGCTGTTCTTTTCGACTATTCAGAACAGAGAAATACTCAATTGTCCAAAGTCATTTGTATTACAAATTTCTTTCACTATTTATACGGTGTGTGAATATTATATGCTTGCCGATATATTAATAGAAACATCGATTGCACATCATTGTCGGGCGTTCACGTTATACTCGGAGCGAATGGCGGCGACAGTCAAGCAATTAATATGTTTGTATATGGCGACAAAACTTTCAAACTTTCTGGGAAACGACGGTCGTTTCTCTCGCTGAAACAAGACATTGGAGAGCAATTAGGAGCACCGATTATGACCTGGTCGGTGTGGGCAAAACCGTCAACAAAGTTTAGTGGTGTGTCGTCATCGCCGTCAAACAAGCGTTTCGGAAAGTTTCGAGCGGTCGACAATACCGGCCACGTCGTGCTTCACGAGTCTTGGAAGTGAGGAGAGAGAGAGAGAGAGAGAGAGAGAGAGAGAGAAAGAGAGAGAAAGAGAGGCTATTTAAAAAGCTTGACAGAACTCATTCCACCATTCCTCAAGATTATTTTGTCATTAAGAATCGAAAATAGGACGCGTGTATTTACTGATGACACAGCTTTGCGTTCTCTTTTTTCTTTCTCTTTTTTTTGTTCTTGGATATTGAATAATAATGTTATCAAAGAACGATACGACGATTTTACTGATATTTTTTAACGGCTGTTGCGTGCGGATTTGCTTATGCGCGGTTAAGGGGTCGTAAATTACACTGAGCGAAAACAGTTTTCCACTCGTTAGAGTGGAATTAATACGCGATGCGTATTAATCGAAGATTAATGGAATCACGTTACGTGCTACACCGTTGATGGACACCGATTTTAGCGACTATGGTAGATATTTTAATGAATCCGATGTGAACTAGTTTCAGAAGAGTATCGAGAAATCATTATGGGAGGCTTAGAGAATGAGGAACATTTGTTAAAACGTCCTTTAACATAAACTTTAAACATAAATTATCGAGCGTGAGTTAATAAATCCGTTGATAATTGTTCAATTTTATTATATCATGTATTTCAATAAATAAGAACAAGGAATAATTTTTTTAATACAAATTTAAATATAGGTATACTTAAACCTTAAATATAATATTGTATTACGATATATTTATGATATATCATGATTTTGCATTTCTATATATAGTATATTAATATATACCTTCAGTTTTTTAATAATCAAATAATTCCTTGTTGATTTATCAAACATTAACAATTTTTCGGTTATTATATTATGTCTCTCTATAATTTAATAATTAGATGGCAAGTTTATTATATGTAATAATGTAAACTTTTACTTTTATTTTTTTTAATATAACAATATAAAATTTTAATTAATGATAAACTAATAAATGATAATTTAATATTTATAATAATCTTGCAAAGAATTACGACGTTGCTGTAAAAAAGGAGAAAGAACTCCAAAAGAGTTATGTGCGAAAGAAGAGTGCTCCGAAAACACACATTTGAATAAATCTTTTTAAAATTCTCTCCTCCCAACTTTCACATCTACAGCTTAGAAATTCTAAGAAGATTCAAATTTTGAAGAAGAAACAAAAAAATAATAAAAAGAAAGTAAAAAGAAAAAGATGTACCGTGAAAGATCGTGAAAAGTGATGTACCGTAAAAGATCGTACGCTTTTGTACACGTGCGACATCGATTTCGGCCACCTGTTGAAGAGTCCGCCGAGTTGGAAAATCGCGGCAATTTCTTCTATTAGGCGACGGGGACGATGGTTCACCAAGTTTTATCGAATTGATACAGAATAAAGTTCTTAGAATCTATGTCGCGATGCCGCGCGGATTTCTTACCTACGCGAATATGATTACCTACGTAGGAGATTTAGGCCGGTACTACTACTGAGGCTTGCGCATCCTCGGGGGATTCGCGAAGCGAGAAAAACGAAGACACGCACGCGGAAAAATATGAAAACCAATCTCACATACACTCACAAACGCGCACTCAGACCTACACGGTTGTTTCTCTCTTGTAATTCGTCGCAGTTCCATTCGCAACACGTTCGTCATTTTTCCCCATATAGCACAGATCTCTAAGGGACGTTCTGAAGGACATCCTACGAACGTCCCAATATCCTTAGAACGTTCCCAGAAAGATCCCTGAGATGAAATGTACTGTATGGGCCTTTCACGGTGGAGCGTCTGTTACACGAGAGTACATTTGAGCATCGTCCAGAATCTAGAGGAGGAACTATCCGAGGAAAGCACTTCTCCTCACAAATTTCGTTATCAATCCATTTATCTATTTCTTATATTCTTTTTTTTGATATGCGTGGAAAATCGCTATACGTCGTACACGTCTCTATTATGCTCGATCTCCCTTGCGGGATGCTCAACGCGTGGTCCAGCTGTACAATGATTCTCGCGACTCATCGAGGGTGCCGGGACCACGATCCCGAGACCGATCTATCGTGCTCGCTCGACGCTCTCATACTAACGCGATCACCACGAAGCGTCGCGACGCCCCGACTACGTACGCGCGCTGCTTCCCTGTCCGCGACTGAGACGCGAGAAAATCGGCTTTGAGCCTTCAGGGAAACCGAGGGCGGCTTCGCGCGCAGGCGTATGATCGCGTATGATGCACCTATCGCGATGTATCTATCTGTAGGCGAAGATATATTTATAATGGAGTATTTGATGATGTCGATATTTACCCATGCAGTAAAGCCTTCAAAGGACATCCTAAAAATGTTTAGATGACGTCTAAAGGATGGTCCCAGAATGTCCATTAGATAAAGTATTGTACGGATAATTTTAAATATTGAGTGGAACGTATGTCGCAAAAAGGTGCACATTTTCTTCCCCCTCACTTTAAAAATATATGAAAATTTAATATCATAGGTCTCATAATTCTTACGTTTTTTTACGTCAAACAAATTTGATAATCAAAAATCATCGTTTTGATTATCACGACGTCAAAATGATGTCATTTTGACTTTCTTTTGATTTGTGTTCCTTGGAATAATGTGAATTTAATATTATGTGATGTTAAATCTTGATATTTTATATCTACATCAAGATTATGAGAATTATATAAATGTCAACATGATGTTAAATCCACATCCATATTTTCTAGAGTCCGTGTAATTTTGATTCATTTTGCACCTTCCTTACGAGCAAGAAAAAAACATATACCATTTAAACAGCGTTATCTTTTATTTGAAAGATTCTTTTAGTTTTAAAAAGATCTTTCAAATAACTGATGATTTTATTCAAATAAAATGATTGTGAATCTATTTATAAATAATTTTTTTTAGAATATCTTCATTTTATTTGTTTTTCCGTTTTGTACAAACAAAGAAGATTATTCTTCTATTTCTATATAACAATTGGTTAATAAATTAAAATAAGTTGATCAACTATTGTATTTTGTATGAATAAATAGAAAGGAAAAAAATTTTATATAATAAACACAAATAACAACCGTGTTTTTAACTCTTTTTCGGTTTTATTGTAATATTATTTTGATCGAGAGCTCTATGTAAAATTATTTTATTGTCGTTAATAAATTAAAATGAATTTTAGAATTACATCTGAATAGTCTAGTAGACTAAACTATCAAATGAAGGAATCGAAGTAGTCTTACAAGAATTTTCGTAAAATTACTCGCTCTTACATTTATTATTATTATTATTATGTATGACAATAATAATAAATATAAATAAATCTTTTTTTTGTTTCGCTTGAAATGGAGTACTAAGATAAAAGCAAAAAACTACAAAATGCAGTTTCATTAACAGCTATTAAGCGAACAGCAAGGTAATATGTAGAAGCTTAAAGTCTCTTTTTCTCCGCGTACTTCCGCTTTCCTGTTACCATTTCGCTGTTTACCATTTGGTGACACAAATCGACATAAATGTCGTTCAGTCTTTGTTGTACTCATTAAATGCTAAATAAAGACAGAATACTTGTGTCTACATATTTATGCTCGTTTCTAAATATAGTTTAGTTCCCCAAAACACAGAATCTAAAATTATGACATAAAACGCCTTTAAGTCGTCTTTTAGACGCAAAAAAAATCTTGTAACCTGATTTTAGACACTTTTTGTCATCTGGGTTTAATCTCGGTTCGACTCTTTTTTTTTTAAATTAAAAAAAATGAGAAACAAGTTGTACTAGAAAAGTTGTCTAGAAATATTTTGATCTCTAAAAGATTGATCCTTTCAAATGGCAATAGCGATTTTAAATTTCCTATCTATTTTACAAAAAATTGATTTTTCTAACTATTTTAAATTAATTTTTTTTAAAGAATTATTTCTTTGTAATTATTTCGAAATGATCATTTTATAAAAAATGTTTAGCAAATTGTTCCGAAAAGAACTTAATCTATTAGTAGAAATGGACATAAGTTCTAACTCGTCAAATTAGAACAAGATAAAGAGTAAGTTAAACCGAATTTTACTAATATAAAATTAATTTTACATTTGTAGAACTGGGCCTAAATGGAAAGCACTCTCGTTAGTTTTAATAAATTACGGCCAGTTAAGCCAAAAATAAAATATTTATTTCAGAATCACTATGTTTTCGTGATTTATCACGATCTACTTCGTGCCACGTGTAGTCGAGAGCTATGTCAAGGTGGCGGCCAAAAATACTTAAGATTCTCGCAAGTCCAAGAGTGTTCTCTAGAATCTAATAAAGTCGAAATGAATATATATTCTTCGCGCAAAGGTCCACTGGTGTGAGTTTCGGGACGAAGAAAGAACAAAGAAATTTGTGCGGCAAATTTGCGTGGGAGAAAAGAGATTTCCTGTTTACATCTTATTGTGGAACAATTCTTTGATTCAAATATGCTCATGTGAATCAGCGGATTCCTATTGCGAGATATGCCAACTATTTTACATTCATTCCGAGGTGACAGTGAAATGCGAGCTTTTATGCCCGGTAAAGAAACGTCGATTAGAATGTTGGGAATAAAAAGAATCGTATAATATCTGTATTTCATATGCACCGCCATCAGATTGATAATCAGGAATCCATACATTACGTTGCAATGCCGAGCGAGCGTTGGTTGAAAATTCGCTGGTCATACGTTAGAATGCAGCACGCGACAGAGCGATAAAGCTGCGCGCTTTATCATATGACATATATTGTTCGAACTTTGATAATTAAATTAGAGATAAAATGTATTTTTTAATGGAATCAGTGATATATGACCTTTTTTTATTCCTCGTAAAGAGATAATAGATAATTTTTAAGATTAGTAAATAAATATTGGAAGTAAAATGTCAATAAACTGAGATATAGTTGTACGAGCGTAATTTAAATATTTAAGAAAAATAATATAATAAAAGTAAATATAATAATAATAAGAAGCAAATTATTGGCTTTTATGAATAAATCTAATAAATTTAAAAAGGATAGTTATCTTTCACTTTCTTAATAAATAATTTATACGCTATCACTCGGTGTTGGCTCTTATTGGCATTTTTCTCTTCGTAAATATAATAAATACGAAATGTATCAACATGTAATATATTCTTGTTGCTACTTTTTCCGTAATTCATAATATAATAATAATAATAGTGACATAATGTCTACTATTCCTTACAGAAATCCAATTTAATATTGAAAATTACTTATTTTGAGTATTAAATACGCTGAAGAATAATATTTCTAATACTCAAAATAAATCATTAATCACTACTTTTCAATATTAAATTTCTGTAAAGAGATCTTTTTGATCAATATACGACAAAAAAGATTATTTACAATTATTTACAATTATTTACAATTTACAAAACCACGAAGCATTTTTTGATATTTTCAGAGTACTGCATATATGAATTTATGCTACAAATTACATCATATATTTATGATGTGTGATAGAGATGAATCAAAGGTTACGTGGATAAACGGGAGACACGGATGTTTTCACAAAAAAATAGTATGATTATAAAATACAGTAATTTATTAATAATTAATCATTTATCGTCAGCGTATTCATCATGATAAATTAAAACTTGCAGATATTTCATCTTCTTCACTATACACTACACGTTTTGTCACATTTGTCGCGTAGCTTACAATATACAGGTCTCGGTTTTATCTATTTTGCTATTTATATATATATATATTTATATATATATATATATTAATATAATAATCTCGAATCTCTCGCAGCGCTAGTTTATCGGCCATTCATCCTCACGCATCTCAGCGGAAATATACGCGACCTTTTTTTGTTATAATATTGTATCGCGGCTCCACACGACTCCTTTTTACCCTTTACAATATATCGTACATCATATAATTGTAAAAAGTAAA